CCACAGGACACTCACCATCCTGCCCTGCTCGCCGTCATTCCGCTCTGCACATTCCACCGATGGTTTCCTTTCGTGGCTTGGCGATGGCGTCAGCACCGTCCGTCGTCCTCGGTAACTCCAAGGCCTTAGGGTGACAAGACCGCCGGACCCGCCGGACGGTTCGCTCCCGTGCGCTCGCGACGCTGGGTAACGTGGTGGCGTTCTCTTTGGCGCATAGGGCATTTTCAGGCTCGGCTTCAATAGCTGGGTGAGGTACTGCTTTGCCCACCATCAATCCATGTTATTGAATGAGGTCCACTTGCCAGCCAGCTGTTAGTGAGCGAATGAATGTCTGAGCCTCTGAGGGGCACGGAGAGAGGACAGGGGAAGGAGAACTCGTGAACAAGGTTAAGAAAACGGTCACCCTGTAATTGATCTCAGGAATGACATTGGCAGCAATTTTATTATTACTAGTATTTATTTATTTATTTATTTTAATTTCGACCATTTCTCTATTTATCCGTGTCATCCTTGCACAGGGGCCATGCTAATCTTCTTTCTCTGTATCGTTTCCAATTTTGACTGATGTCCCAAAGAACTGACATTAGCAGCAATTAGCTACTAGCAAGAATGTGCACATTAAAGATATCTGGGATAGGAACAATGACCAATGGATCTCAGAGGAGGATCTGAGAAGAAAAAAGTTACCAAGACTCCACAGAGTAAATCTTCACCGCGAGGAGTTAATCCCTGCAAGAGAGTTACCACGACTCCTCGGAGTAAATCTTCACCGCTAGGAGTTAATCCCTGCAAGAGAGTTACCAAGACTCCGCAGAGTAAATCTTCACCGCTAGGAGTTAATCGCTGCAAGAGAGTCACCAAGACTCCTCAACTGCCATTTCGTCAAAATGGACATCTTTTATTTTTTGAACGAAATTGAAACCGAGTTTTTTGGCCAGAAACTCGTCAAAATTTGCTGTTCCTGAGGGTCCGGCGTTTGTAAAACGCTGCACCCCGTGGCTGTACATGGACCTAGCTTGAGACCAGGTACCTCCAGGCAGTCCTGCCTGGAGGTGCCTGGTCTCGAGCTAGGTCCAAGTACAGCCAGGGGGTCGGGAACAGCAAATTTTGACAAGTTTTCGGCCAAAAAACTCAGTTTCAATTTTGTTCAAAAAATAAAAAATGTCCATTTTGACGAAATGGTTGTTCCTCAAGAGTAAATCTTCACCGCTCGGCGCTCGGAGTTGATTGCTGCAAGAGAGTTACCAAGACTGGGCAGAGTAAATCTTCACCGCTAGGAGTTAATCGCTGCAAGAGAGTTACCAAGACTGGGCATAGTAAATCTTCACCGCTAGGAGTTCATCGCTGCAATTCCGGTCACGTGGATGAGCCTTTTGAGAACAGAAACCGAACACAGTGAAGGCACATGGGTATTTGCAGATAATGATCCAGGGAAGATATAGAAAGTCTTGGGCCCTGACTGGGGGCCTGGGACGAGAGATGAAGAATGGAGTTCATCCGCGACAATATCAGACACAAAGTGTTACGTAGGGGACCGAGGTACGTTGTCTTGCAAATGTCAAATGGTAAAGGGTGCCTTCCAATGATTTTTATTTTTTGTCAATGACGCACATCCTGATGCAGTCAGGTGCAGTCCCATTCTGAGAGAGGCTGTGATTTGAGAAGCTTCCTGAAATCATCCTCACCCGTTGGCCCTGGAGGAATATTTGGGGACCAACTAAATCACCCAAATACACGGCGTAGAGAGTCCCTCCAAAAATGAGAAAACAATTGTTGTATACGAGACCCTGTACGCCAGGAGGATAGTAGGGGAGGGCAGGAGCCAGGGGAAGGAGGGAGATGGAGCTCCCTCCAGTACCTGGCGGTGCTGCAGGAGAGGGAAAAAAAAAAAAGATTAGATATGGGACGCTGGACCCGGTTTCCAGCGCAATGGCGTCACTTTCATTCAGTCAATGTCAAATCTCAGCAGATCGCAGTGCAGCTCCTTTCAGCCTTTTTCAGCCCTTTTTTGTTGTCTCAGTATTTTTCAAATACATGCTAGTGCAGACAATAGGCGCCAGGAGGAAAGTAGGAGATGGCAGAGGCTAGGGGATGGAGGGAGTCTACACTGGTGCCCCCCGGTGTTTCTCCGTCCAATACCCGACCCTGCTGCAGGATAGGTATGGAAGAGTTGTTTGGATAAGGGACGCTGGACCCGGTCTCCAGCACAATGGCGCCATCTTCAAAAGGAACTGTTTTATAAAGATGTATTTAAGGGAAGCTGGACCCGGTTTCCAGCAGGTTTTGCTCCCCACCAATAGATGGAGCGGCAATCCCGGTGGTTCTCTTACCACCACCAGGATAGAGGCCTTGAATAAGGGCCTTGCCCAACAAAAAAAAAAAAAAAAAAAAAAAAGAGAAGCTTCCTGAAATCAAGGGTATATTTGCAAAAGCTCCCTAAGTTGAGACACCAGGGAGCAATCTCAGGTTGTTGTCCGTCGGCAGCGCAGTGACACCGTCAACAGTCACGAGACTCTCCCGGGCTGGTGTGTATACTCAGTAGATATAGTGCACTCAATTTATTGTAGAGGGGCATCACATTTGGCCTTCATTCTGAAAGTCGCGTTTCCATTTCAATTGCACACTTTGAAAGTGAAAACAATTGATGGAGGTCGAGGGGGGAGAAATTGGAGAATAAAGTCCAGTGGGTGCAGCCTGAATAATAACTCAGGTAGGAGGGCGGGGGGGGGGGGCGGGGCAAGTTCCATCACACTGGCGAGGAGAGCGGGGGATGGGGAAAGGAGCCTGCCACAACAGCCAAAAAAAAACGAAGAGGGTGGCTTAGTCGCTTTATGGGACTCCACCAGAGTCCAGGCACACTCTACCCAGTACTTTCCTGAATGTATCCGACTGCTCTTACAGCCAGCCCAGGATGCATCGGACCGGAAATCACGTCCCGAGCTTAGTAGAAAAAGTCCTAGTGTGAATGTGCCCTCAGATTCAAAACATCTTGCCATTCGTATCCGTTGAGAGTTATTAAATATGTTACGCACAAAACAGAACAGTTGAGCGAGGGGGACGTGATGTGGTGCTCCGGTGCTCGGCAAAGCGCCGTAGCGCTAACCCCTGAAGCTGCAGCTGCTGGCGCCAACCTCAGGGTGAGGGCGTTTGCCCAAGGCTATGGCCGCCATACCTAGGGCCTGTCACAAGCGGCCAACAGTGACCACATTCATTCGTTCGAGTGTGGGAGCGGCACTTGGACGGCGTGGCGGTTCTGCTGCAGTGTCTGCTCTGCTGGCGGTTCTACAGTGTCTGCTCTGCTGCGCTATGTGTGGGTGCTGAGGGTCGTGGTTGTTCTCTTTCCATTTGAGCCACCAGTACTTGTGCGCCATCTGACTGGAAACGTTTCTACTCTGTTTTTTCTAGGCCGCCCAAAAAAATAGAGTGGAAACGTTTGCAGTCAGATAAATTTGTGCGCTCCTAAAGTTGTAGTCGCCCGGGCCAAGGTCCCACTTGCACGGACTAGGGTCTGCCTGCAGGATCGAGATTTGTCTGGCCGTGATCTTCTGTGTATATTTGATACCGTGATCTGAGTATAGGCAATTCGCCGAGAGACTCTGACTGGTATAACTTCTTGGAGATTTGATCCCTCGATCTGCGTATAGGCAATTAGCCCTCTGACTATAGATTTGCTATTATTTTCTGAGTATATGACGTCTTGTTTTTCAGGGTTCGACCACACTTTTTTGTATCTGACCTATTAGCTTGGTATCATTGGAGGTTTTCTCGCAGCTTACCTACCATGGGAGGTTTTCTGGACTCTTTTGAAACTCTTCTGTTTCTGCGGATTACTTAACATATATATACATATGTATATATGTATATATATATACATATTTTGTATACATAATGTATATATATATATCGTCACGAACAAAACTGCCCGGTAAACCGTAGGCAGAGAGAGAGAAGAGGACAACAAACGAGGGGCTGTGACAAACTGTTTCGTCGGAGTTTCACCGACTCATAGGAGGCTGAACCCTCATCAATCTGCAGAATCCCCTCACTGATTACACTGTGAATAATCTACCTTAACCAAAATCAAAGTAGACTATCACTCACCCACACCAGATGGGAAACTCTACAGACTGTCGGTTCACACCCCATCACAAGCCGGCAAAACATCCACGAAACAAAGAAAGGTCTGTCACAGCCAAAAAATACACTCCAGACATACGCTATTACGCTGTCGTGAATCATTGCTGTATTGCGACGGCGACGACCATGACCTTCGAAGATGGCAAGACCCGCGGAGTTGGCTGATTGGCGGGCCAGCCGCAAGGGTCTTCAACCGGAGTACTTCATGTTATATTTTTTCGAAAGTCGCGTTCGGGAGTTACTTTCCATTTGGGTATTATCCGACATGTGTTTCTTTCTCGCTCCCCCAGGCCTGATCGTTTTCGGCCAAGTCCACTAACACTCAACTGTCTTGAGAAGTTCATTGAACCTGATCATTCAGAGGAAACGACACGTCCGTGGCTGGTCCTGCGGAACGATAATAACGAAAATAATTGTTATAAGAAAAACCGACAAACACACATTGACGGGGAAAAGAAAAATAATAAAAAAGGAAAAAAAAGAGAAATTATAAATCCTCCCCGGGAAGAAACCCTTCTATAAGTTCCATTCATGTCCCCCCAACGGGGCAAAAAGTGTCGCAGGCACCAGAAGTGGCAATAGCAGCTTGTCCTTCGGGACATTCGTTGCACATTCGAGCGATACGGAGAATATTAGCATGGCACCTACACACGTATGACACGCATAAAAACAAACAGAGAAGGCCACACGCATAAGAAAAAAAAGAAAATAGCACATACAGGGGATATTTACGACACTGTGCAGCACTCGACAAATTTGATACAACTTTAGGTTACTACACAAAAAAGAATGAATGATATGATTTTCCCGGATCGGTTTCTTTCGGTCACTTACACAAAACAGAATGAACAATATGATTTTCGCGAATCGGCTTCTAATTACGTCCTGTGGCACAGGCCGCACAGCCCCTGCCCTCTAATCAGCGCACGATTGAAGGAGAGCAGCGACGCCCAATTTTCGACTACCTCCCTCGGATCTTGCCACATGAGCGACTTATTCCCGGGCCTAGGCCCATTTGCCCCTCATTCCTCATCCCTTCTCTTTTGCTCACCCTAAACAATGATCACAAGAGAAGTTCCCCTTTCCAATTTGATCCAATATCCCCCGGCGCACTGGACGCCTTACTTCTCTCTCTCTCTCTCTCTCTCTCTCTCTCTCTCTCTCTCTCTCTCTCTCTCTCTCTGTGTGTGTGTGTGTGTGTGTGTGTGTGTGTCTGCGTATGTGTGTGTGTGTGTGTCTCTCTCGAAATCGCAGGGAGCAATGGCAGATGGTCGGTGGACTCATGAAATCGGTAATAAAGTACTGTCGATTATTCCCTGGAGCTCGGTTCCTTCCGACGACAACGGTGGACATCCCCACCCCATCAACATTTTCACACCTTCGTATTAGTGTTATCCGCCACTGTGACAGCAGACATCCATCGTCTAGCTGATCTGGACGTCGACGACTTTGGGCTGCTCTGGTTCCTTCGGCGGCATCTTGGGCACCGTCACGGTGAGTACGCCATCTTTGCACTGCGCGCCAATTTTGTCGAGTTCCGCGTTGTCAGGCAGTGTGAACCGGCGCATGAACTTGCCCGTGCTGCGTTCGATGCGGTGGTACTTGTCGCCAGAAGCCTCTCCCGTCTTCGTCTCACGATGGCGCTCGCCGCTGATGACCAGCGTGTTGCCGTTCTCCAGCTGCACCTTCACCTCCTCGCGACTGAGTCCCGGCAAGTCCGCCACGAACTGGTACGCCGTCGGCGTCTCCTTCACGTCCACCGCGGTGTTGGCCATGGCACGCGATTCCCTCACGAACGTGCGGCCGGGCTCGTCCAGCATGCGGAACATCTCGTCGCCCAGCGACATCATCTGCCGCATGGAGTCCGGCATCGCCCACAGACTCGAATCTCGGGAGAAGAACGGAGACATCGCCATGGTGGGCGTGAGGAGAATGGACAGAAAGGGAGATACTATGCCGCTATAGTGCGAAGGAGTTGCAAGCCTTCGAGACCGTGCCGGCAAACGATCGGTGAATGAGTGCACTGAGTGCGGAGAGTGAGGACAGGACGTCAACAAGAGAGGGCGGGGAATGGCGATCGACGAGCTTCGTCGAAAATCTTGATCGCATTAAAGGCACGAGGTTGAACGTCGAAGAACGTGATTCAACTGGAATGGTACAGGCGCGGCCAATGAGAAGGAATGAGAAATGGCGCGTAGATGTCGAGGAGTTCTACGGGCTATGTCGCTCGATGCATGACCTCACGGGAAAAGCAATTCTCTATTTATAGGTGCCAAGAAACCGGGCCTGCCCGTCCTTCCCACAGCAAAGGAACTTTCAAGCGCAAAAAAAAAGAGAAAGAAGGAAATACAAGGGCGCGATGCGGAGCACTGCGCGCCAATTTGGCAAGCACAGACGCTGGGAAGGTTCGAGMCGASGGAGGCGACCGAAGCATCTGGACGAGTGGTTGGTGGCGGGGAGAGCCTCATTCATTGATTGACAATTCCATTCCAAGGCGACCCTGCCGCGCGCGACTGCAACCACCTAGGCTACCTGTAGGAAGGACTTTCTAGAAGAACGCGACCGCCGCGGTCTGCGACTTGTGGAAAACTCCCGAGACGACGTCACGACGTCCATCGTCGGGCCATACTCACAGTAGCACTTTCCGAAACGAATCTGACCGCAATTACAACCAGATTTATATGAAACTGACCGCAATTACCTCCAGGGTCCTGGTCCTCCACAAATGAGGTAAAATAGTCCTGTCCTGGGGTGAGTTGACCTGTGGGCATACTCACACTAGGCCCTCAGAACCGGAAAATCGCAGAATCAGCGGCCAGATCGACGACTCCTTTTACAAGGACTTTATCTGGCCACTGATTCTGCAGTTCTGCCATTTTGAGGGCCTTTTTTTTTTTTTTTTTTTTTGGAAAAGTGAGCTACATTCGTCTCTGAATTTCACCTCACACTGGCCGTCGCCGCACGGCACACGAAACGAAAAACGAAACGAGTGCCTCTTCCCGAAGAAAACCGCCAGGTTCATCGGTTTGCTATGAGTAGTAACGCGTGTATCTCGCCACCTTTCCTGGGCAGATGCACTCGTGTCTTTTTCGTTTCGTGTTTCGTGTGGCGAGGCCCACTTCCTACCTACCACTACTCCTGATTAGGGTCAGATCCCACTGGCAAATAGGATTGGACTAAGTGCCTGAATCAAGATGTGTTCCACGCAGAGATGCAGAAACGCAGATCAATTACAGTTTTTTGCACCTCTCCACAAACACGTCCAGATTCCGACGCTTATTCCAATCGCTTTTGCCAGTGGGATCTCACCCTTACAGTCGTACGGGGAACCCCGTAGCAGCCACAACCGTGTCCACGAGAACACAGAAGCTGCACCCAGCCCGCAAGTGGGCTATACTGGCCAGGGACCATGCCAACAGGACCATTCCCTGTGCCTCCCGTCAGGTGGTGGTTCCCCCCCCCTCCCCCCCTTCCCTCCCTACCAACATCAGCAGACTCTGCTCAATGCCGATCGGGGGGTCTGGTGGCCTATTTCTTGGTGGACTGGGGGCATACTCACAATAGGTCACTAGGGCAAGCTTGGTGCCCTGGTGTGAGTATGCCCTCAGTTGGAATGGCTTAGTTCTGGTTTCGACTCTTGAGTTGTATTTTTCAGAGTGGACACACGTGGCGGGGAGAGATCGCATGGTGGGGATACGTGGAAACTCGTGGAAACTCAACACAGGAACTAGGCCTCCTCTTTTTTTTTCTTTTTTTCTTTGATTCCTCTCAAGTGGGTGCCAGCCTGGGAACTGTTTTTTTCTCCCTCTCTCAATTTCACCTTTCACTACCTACCTACCTACCATTACTCCTAAGGCTATACAGGGGACCCCTGCAAGCATATCTATCACTGCCTTCTTCCCCTGAACACAACGCACCCTCATTGGCTGTGCGTCCCCTGAAATAAAGCTTGTATACAATCATTATCAGGGCGGGTTATGTTCGGGGAAAGAGACCATAAAGAGGAGCTAAGCATAGAACGCCCGATCATAACACACGCACCCTCATAGGCTGTGCGTGACCTGAAATAAAGCTTGTATACAATCTTTATCAGGGACCCGGGGTGCGTTATGTTCGGTGAAAGAGACCATGAAGAGAAGCTAAGCATAGAACGCCCGATCATGACCCTGCATCTGGACTGAAAGTTGGCCCCCAAAATACAGCTATAATGACCAGGCGCTCTATTCGGGTGAGGCCTGTAGCCACATTCACTCAGGCTCCTGTTGCAGGATAGAGTCTGCGAACTGTGGGTCTGTACAGGGACACATTTGTGCCTGTTCCAGGGGCAGACCCGGCCAGGTGGCTGACTCAAGACCGAGTTTGAACTGCATTTGAAACTCGGGCCCTGACTCGACCGCAAAAACCGTGCCTCCAATGCAATTTTATACTGTTTTTGTCACCGCGGTGTATTTTTTTAAAAACTTTTTCTTACCTTGCTTACCAAAAGTGATAATATGACTTTTTGGCTTGGAAGTCTTTCTGTATTTTTTACTTCTGATTATTCTTTTCGTTTTACTTTTTCTCACTTTTCTCGCTCCGACCGATGCTTGTAAGAGAGACATCGAAAGATGACATGATGCTCCTACTCCAATTATAGCGGCAAACTTGCAGAAATACCCTTTTCACAAAGTTCCGAAGCAGATTTATCGGTCAGTGCCTTCTTTGGTGACAAAGACCCCATGGGCCTGGTCTGCGGCAAGCACAGGAAGGCAGGCGGGTCCGGCGCGAAAGAAAGACCTGCCTGGTAAATCTGCGTAAGAACCTTTTTTTTTTTTTTTTTTTTTTTTTTGCGTAAAAACTTTTGAAATACAGTATTTCTGCGACTTTGCCGGCATATTTGTCACAATACACTGGCAGACGGGTATTTTTGCAAGGATGCTTGTCTGAACAATGGGTACATCAACAATTTAGCCATTCCTGCAGGTGCGGTGCCCCACCAATAGACTTGAGCATCCAGGAAACCAACTAGGGGGGTACTCTTATCACCTCTCTGAGCACTGGGACTGGTTCTTTGAAAAAATACAAAATAAAAAAAAAATCGGCGGGAAGCAGCTAGGGAAGCAATTGCAAGGGGTTAACTGTGGATATAACGAGCATGTATCAAGTGCCCGTGCCCACTGATTGCTCCATTTGAGTCCGTTATAGTCCATGAGCACCACACCTGGAAGGCTGCAACCAATCTTTCATCTTCAACTTCTCTTCTCAAGTTCTCATCTCTCGCATAACATCTCCTATACCATTCTTCCCTCGCCAAGTTGCGGTGGCCCCTAGCATCAGCTCAGGTTGTTCGCCAGAAGGGGAAAAAAAAAAGGTAACTAGGGCGCAGTCACGATTTTAGTTTGACATCCACTTCAGGCATCCCTCGAATACAAAACATCCCCACCAGGCATCCCTCGAATACAACACACCCCCACAGGATCCTAAAGGTCGGTTGTATACATTAACGATTTTCCTTTCTTTGGCACAACATTCGCGAAATGGTGACTGAAGCGCATTTTCAAACTGAAACCCTGACAACCCCCTAGACTAGTTTTCCCCAAAACAAAGGAAACCGTGGTCCTCTCCCCATGCCCATGCCTGTGCTTTGCAAGGAGCCGCGATATTTCGCCCACGTACGTTTCCCTCCCTCCCCTGCCCAGATTGATAAGCATGAGGGAGTAGTCTTATAACTTAACAAGTCATTTGAGTTCTATGGGTGCCGCGGATTGCTTGCTTATTTCTCAGTGTTATCATCACAACTGATCCACATTTCCCCTCTGTTTGTTAAATTCTTGTTCCTCCTCCTCATTTCTGTGACTCTTGTTTAAATCTCCATCATGCCTCCTACCTGCTGATAGTAGCCATGGAGCAAGTGAACTGAAGGGATTGGCTGCGTGGTGCCCCGCAGTCGTTACCCTTCCGCTCTGTCCGATAATCAATGCTTCCTGAAAAGCCTTTTTTTTTTTTTTTTTCCGTTCGTGAAACAGTGTTTAGTGAAAAAGAGGATTAATTTCGAGTTCGCAATGCTGACTGAAATGAAAAGCCTCGTACGTGAAACAGTGAAACAAAAAGGTAATTAAGCTCGCAATGCCGACTGAAAAGCCTTTTCTTTTTTATTTTTCTTTTTTTTTTTGTTCGTGAAAGAGGCTTAATTTCGAGTTCGCAATGCTGACTGAAAAGCCTTGTACGTGAAACAGTGAAACATGAAAGGTAATCAAGTTGGCAACGCTGACTGAAAAGCCTTGTTCTCAAAACGATGATCAGAAAGGCTCTCTTTCTGAAGTGGAGAAAACGAAAAAGTCAAAGTCAATTCCGAGTAAGTCAAAGCTTGAGCTTTCGATCCAGTGTTTGACCAGAACAAAGGTCCGCAAAGAGTACCCTTAAAGATATGCCCCACTTCTTCATTACTTTACAGGGGTACAATGCAGCCTTTCCACTCTGAGAAAGGGCTTTCCTTTCTTTGTTTTTTTTCTCAAAAGGGCGACGGGCTTGAGATACCATCGTCCTTGAACTGACCGAGCCCAGGTATTTTCCCCTTCAGAAGGGGTAACTTCAGTAGAGTCACAAAAAGGAGTTATAATTGCACTATCATGGGGCGAGATACAGTTCGCATTTGCACTCGTAGAGTCACAAAACGGAGTATAAGGAAGATACAGCTTGCAATTGCACTTCAGGCACTCTACACCTGGTATAAATTGCCAGAAGTGCAATAATTGCAAACTGTATCTTGGCCCAGAGTGCAAATTATCACTCTTTTTTGCGACTCCCGCCTAGTTTCCCCTTCAGAAATTCATTCCACTAGTTCCCTCTGGTCGGAATTTGATCTCACGACCTTATGTTAGTAGTTAATGGGCTTACCAACTGAGATAGGCCCGTTGGTCACTCTGAGAAGACCCAGAATTTCAGCCGCGGTCTATTGGTGGGAAGCCGCACCTGCTCGAAACAGGGTCCAGCGTCCCATTATACATCAACAAAATGCAGTGACTGCATTCTTTTTTTTTCCCCCAAAATTCAAATTCGGATTACATCATCAAACGCGAGGCCGCGGAGCTCGACAATACACCCGGCGCCAAGTCCGACTAGCAGCGTTGAGTTTCCTCAACACCCGAATTTGGAAGTGTTTGTGGAGAGTAGCAGAAAGTAGCGTCGAGTCTATCCTCAACCACACATCTCCACAAATACGTCCAGATTCCGGCGTCGAGTAAACTCCACGCTGCTGCAGTCTTCCCCCGAATACAACGTACGGTCATTATCGCTGAATTAAGACGGAAAGATAGACCAAATTCAGCTATAATGACCGTACGTTGTATTCGGGGGAAGACTGTCGTGGGACTCGGGCCCGGTAACTGCGAATTCCAGTAAGGGCACGCGCGTCTGCCTGTACGTTCCTGGACATATGTTCCGGCTCCGATTCATATACCGTGTATCTGGTCAAGAATGCTCCAGTTCCAGTAGGACAAACGTTTAGGCAAGTTTCGCACTCAATGCTTCCCCCACAAACACAGAGTGTCGTATCGGTTCTGATCAGGATGAGTCTAATATCTGAGAGAACAAAACAAACAAAGAATGAAAAGGCAGAGGAATAACGGCCAGGAAGTAACATGCTGCCTCTCACAAGTATGCGAAGTAAAGAACAGACGTCATGAACATGATGCTACAATTTGTTTACAAAGAAAAGAAAAAGAAACATCTGAAACAAAACGACCGTCATTGGGATGTTGATCATCACGGTGATTTTCGTCGTTTGTTGCTGGGGGTAAGGGGAAAAAAAAAAAAAAAGAAAAAAAAAAACAGAGGGAAAAGCTGAAGAATGTCCTGCGAAGAAACCTTTATATTCATGTCCCCCCTTACGGGGCTAAAAGTGTCGCAGGCCCCAAAATGACTTTTCGTGTCATCTTTTCACCCTGGCTTTTAGAACTTATGGCACAAAAATGACGCCGAAAGTCATTGGGGCCTGCGGCACTTTTTTCAATGAACACAAAGTCTCGTCGGGGGAAGGTTTCATATTTTCCCAAATAAGATACAATAGTTCATTAAAAAAAAAAAAAGGACTGGCCACAAACCCCCCGACAAAACGCAAAGAAGCTTGTCCTTCGGGAGATTCGTTACACATTGGAACGATACAGAGAATATTAACATGGCCCCACACACGTAAGACACGCATAAAAACAACAGAGTAGCCCACACACATAAGAAAAAGAAAAGAAAAACAAGCGAACAGAAAAAGGATAGTCATATTACAAAAAAAAAAAAAAAAAAGGATAGTCACAGCAGTTTGCCACACTGTGCATGAATGTACTTCCGGACAAAAGGGATTGAACTTTAGCTTCTTTCTGTTATTGCAAAATAGTAAATAGTACTTCAGGTCACTACACAAAAAAAAAATGAATGAATGATATGATTTTCCGGGATCGGCTTCTACTAATGACCGAGAAATTACATCCTGTGACACAGCCCCTGCCCTCAATCAGCGCACAACTGGAGGAGAGCAGCGACGCCAAATTTTAAAACGACGATAGCCTCCCTCCGATCTTGCCACATGCGTGACTCATTCCCGGGCCTAGGGCTTTCTCTTCCCTTCTCTTTTGCTCACCCTAATCAATGATCACAAGAGAACTTGGCCCCTGCAAATTTGAACCAGTATCCCCCGGCGCACTGGACGCGTTACTGTTCTCTCTCTCTCTCTCTCTCTCTCTCTCCACACTGGACGTCTTGCTGTTCTCTCTCTCTCTCTCTCTCTCTCTCTCTCTCTCTCTCTCTCTCTCTCTCCGCCACAGCAGACATCCATCGTCTAGCTGATCTGGACGTCGACGACTTTGGGCTTCTCTGGTTCCTTCGGCGGCATCTTGGGCACCGTCACGGTGAGTACGCCATCTTTGCACTGCGCGCCAATTTTGTCGAGTTCCGCGTTGTCAGGCAGTGTGAACCGGCGCATGAACTTGCCCGTGCTGCGTTCGATGCGGTGGTACTTGTCGCCAGAAGCCTCTCCCGTCTTCGTCTCACGATGGCGCTCGCCGCTGATGACCAGCGTGTTGCCGTTCTCCAGCTGCACCTTCACCTCCTCGCGACTGAGTCCCGGCAAGTCCGCCACGAACTGGTATGCCGTCGGCGTCTCCTTCACGTCCACCGCGGTGTTGGCCATGGCATGCGATTCTCTCACGAACGTGCGGCGGGGCTCATCTAGCGTTCGCAACATCTCATCTCCGGGCAAGATGATCTTGAAGGTGAAGTTGGGCGTCGCCCACAAGCTCGAGTCTCGGGAGAAAGAGGGAGAGAGCGCCATGGTAGGTAGAGGAAGATGGGTAGAACGGAGAGGCGACAAGTCCAAAACGTCGCAGCTTTTGGAGACTATGGCGGCAGACGATCGGTGAGTGACTGCCAAGCGTGACGACAGGCCCTCAAGAGAGAGTGGGGAATGGCGATCGAGAAGATGCCAGACAAACTGTCGAAGATCTATAGCACCAAAGCAAGGAGACTGGTTTATAAAAGACCTGGTGGCGTGAGTGATAGAGAGAGAGAGAGAGATTGGCCTCGGACAAGTGACAAGGTTCGCGAGCATGTCGAGCTCCAATCGCTGACCTATACGAACTGCCCACAGAGCAATTGTGTATTTATAGGGCGCCAGTGGAAGAAGGCATCTGCAAAATCAAAGTGGAAGAAGGCATCTGCAAAATCAAATTGAACCTTCCCGTAGAACGTGGAAATGTACACCGCCATATTTATTGTCTTTTGTGCATGTACTGAGTAGTGAGCGAGACCCAGAACGTGGAAAGGCACACCGCCATATTTATCGTCTTTTGTGCATGTAGTGAGTAGACTGAGTAGGGAGCGAGACCCAGGACTGAATCTTCTCCTAGAACATGGAAAGATACACCGCCATATTTATTGTCTTTTCTGCATGCGGTGAGTACACAGTAGTGCAGTGAAGGTTCGAGAGGATCTTTATCGGCAGCATCTTTTTTTCTTTTTGGGCGGCAGCATTTGCACGATTTGTCCATGGCGACAGTTTGGTGGGCCACGGCCAGCCTGCGCCTCGCCGGCGGCGGCTCGAGAGTTCTAGACGAATCCGATGCCGTCTCCCACGCTTGTAGCCGAGCTCGACCGCGGCGGCTGGCGACTTCTAGACGGTGAGTTCTAGGGCCTCGCTGCACCACTCTCGAAATGTGCAAAACAAGAGCGAATCTTCCTGTAGAATATGGAAAGATACACCGCCATGATTTTTTGTCTTTTCTGCATGTCCAGAGTACTGCAGCGAGGCTCACACTCTCGAAATGTGCAAAACGAGAGTGAATCCTCCGCTAGATTATGGAAAGATACAACCCCATGATTTTTTTTTATTTTATTTTATTTTTCCCCATGAGTTTTGTCTTTTGTGCATGTCGAGAGTAATGCAGCGAGGCCCCTAGACGAGCTCGACCGCGGCGGTTTGGGACTTCTAGAGGGTTCTGGACACGACGTCTGTCGTTGACGGTGGGAACTGGGAACTGGAGAATAAACACTGTCGGATTTTAGGTAAGGGCATCGCCACACGGCTAGAGAAATGTGCAAAATGTAGAATGAACTTCCCGAGAGAACATGGCCAGATGCGCCTGCCACAGTTGTGTCTTTTTCTCATTTCTCGAGTGGGGTGGGGATGCCCTAACGCGAGCTCGACCGCTGCTGCGCTACTCACCAAGCCAAATGTGGAAACTGGCAGAGAGGTCCCCGGAAACCGAGCAAAAGGTGGCCCCAAAATAGCCGTCGGCGTCACTTTTGCACCCTGTACAACACTTTCGTCGGCCCAGCCAGGTGCAAAAATGACAGGAAAAGTCATTTTGGGGTCTGCGACAGCTCTTGCCCCGTTTCCGGTGAATGAATACAGAAGTTTCGCGTGCAAAAATGACAGGAAAACTCACTTTTGGCCCCATTGGGGATGAAATGAATACAGAAGTTCTGGCGTGGGGAGGTTTTACAACTTTTCCCCAAAAAGTGCGGCAGGCCCCAAAGTGACTTTTGGTGTTACTTTTCCACCCTCTAAAACACTTTCCTGCCATTTTTGCATAGCAGGCGTTATTGGCCCAGCCAGGGTGCAAAATGGACCCGAAAAGTCATATTTGGGCCTGCCGCGCTTTTCTGCCCATTGGAGGGGAAATGAATACAAAGGTTCCCGGGCCGGGAGGTTCTATGGGGCTCGTAGATTCCCCGGGGAAATCATCGTTCCACCAATCCTCGGGGGACAAAATGGGAAAAAAAAAGTGAAAACATTTCCTTGGGTAATCCTCGGGCCATCCTCGGGCTACAGCCATTTTGCGGCCACCCCCAAGGTAGCTCCCAAGGTCCCCCACAGGTGAAGGACACTCGATGAGAGGCCACAAGTCGCCGGAAGGAAATTTTTGACAGCTTGTCCATTGGAGTTCCTACCGGGCGCCACACGGACATCATCGGTCTTCAACGTTCAGCTTCCAGGAACCGTAACCGTTGGTGGCCTGCCGACCCCCGTTGATGTCATCCACCGCCGTTCTCCCTTGCAGTGTGTGCCGCCAAACGGAAAGGGGCCCAACGGACGAAAAATTCAAATATTTAAGCCAACCGAAGTTTTTATTCCCAGCTGTGCTACACGACGCGAGACATGAGGACAGTGTTTGTTGGATTGTCCAGTCTGCCGTTTGCTGCCCTCGTTTCGTCGCCGTTTGTTGGAGCCGTACCGGCGTGGTGCAGTTAGTGCCCTTCCCCACGTGTCGTTCATGGCCAACATCTTCCGAAGATTACCGCTGTTGTTCTTGGTCGTGATCAAGCTTCTCCTTGTCACTGTCTTCCACGTGTGCATCCTCGGTATGCTGCCTGGACGCACATGCAAGAGGCCTTCAGTGACGAAGGGCTTCATCATGGAAGGGCGGCAGGCGAAGAACAAGACTCCAGTGCAGTGAAACCGTACGCTCAATCAGCGCGGGCCCTTTTCAGCGGTTTTTGAGCGCCGCTCAAAACCGCGCTCAAGCGCGATGAGCGCGATCGCAGACGGGCCCCAAATGTTGGGAGGGGAAGGGTGGAGGGGGGGTTTCGGGGTCCCAGGCAGGGGACGGGGGGGTGGGGAGGGGGTCTGTGGGTTCGGGGGACCTGAGAAACGACCGTTGGTTTTTTTTTTTTTAGCTCTTTGACATTTTTCACCGAAACCTTCGCGGGTAATCTGAGAGGCCCCTGCAAATAATATGCAAGGGCCTACTTGCCGCGAGATTGGCAGCACTCGAGCACGAGCACATTGCAGAGCAGCAGCACGCCAACTATATATGGTGTAGATTCACATTAAGGTCCATGTTTAAGCAGTTATGGGACCACTGAGCACGTGATTATCTTGGCAGGAGGAGGCCAACTCACCACGTGATTTTCAGGGCTTCCCTCCACTACTCACCAAATGTGCAAAACTCGAATGAATCTTCTGCTAGAACATGGGATCATACGCCGCCATATGTTGTCTTTTGTGCAAGTGGAGCCAGGCCCTTAGGGCCACTGCTCGTAGGAAAAGGAAAACAAAACAAAGAGAGAACTAAGTGCAAAACTAAAATGAATCTTCTGCTAGAACATG